GCGTCACCACAGCAGTCGTTCACACTTACGAATGATCGCAGAGCGTCTGCAACATTCACCTTGCCTATTCGCTGCACCCCACCCCCACATAAGCCGGGTCTCCACAGGCACTAGGCCTGTGGATACTCGCCTTACAAAGATCTAGCGAGCCTTCGGTTTCTTGGCCTGCTTCAGTGCTTTAGGCCTTCAGTGCGTTTGCAGAGAATGGTGGCCTAAAGTTCCACAAGATCACGTGATATCAGTAACGCAAGATCTCATACTACTGATCTCGCATGATCTTCCAGTATATTAGGCTTCTGTTCTCTGCAAATGGAGGCCTGGATGAGATCTGCAGTAAAAGGCTTTGCAAATGGAGGGAAGGCCTGAAGCACCTAAGCCTTCCCTCCGTTTGCAAAGCCTTTTGCCGGCTTTGCAAAAAGCCTTTGCCGTCGAGAATGGAGGTCGGGAGGAATGCGTGTATCCCTCTGGGCCTCTGTTCTTGTCAGGAAAAGCCTTTTCCTCAAGTCCTTTGCCGACAAGAATGGAGGCCTGGAGGGACATGAGCCCTTCCCAGGCTCTTGTTCTCATTGGCAAAGGCTTTTTGCAAAAATGACCTGAGCTTATAGGAACACAATCTTTCATCCCTTAGGTCTCGGCAAGCCTTTGCTCAAGACGAAAACGTATTAGAGAGGCTGGAGAGGAGATAGCTCCGTTGATCATGAGATCTATGTAAGGTAAATGACCCGGCTGGGCAGGATGGGGGGGGGGGGAGCATGAGATATCTCAGTGGGTCGAGGAAAGCACTAGGCCCCTCGTGGTCTTCTTCTCCCTGAAATACCTCATGCACTTAACGACCCGCGCATTCCATTAGCGAATGTGTGGACAAAAGCAAGGTTAGCAAATTACATGATTCACTCATACAAATCCTCGGGTTACGAATGTAATTGGCAGGCTCCATTACATTCATAACTTGAAGATTACCTATATAGGTGAGCCTCTATCTTCTATAGAAAGCTCTTCCACTTACCCTGCGCAACTTCATCTGTTTGTTATAGAAACTGTTCCATTCCTTTTTCTGGCTGTCCTCATTAACTTCACCCACACTCCTGGTATCTTCATCATATCTGAATAATAACTCAGAAAGAGTTGAAAGTTGAACAGGAGAGTCATGTAAAATTATATCAAATCTTAAATTAGCATCAAAGGCCAATATTCTAGGATATAGGATTAAGCACAGGATTATGGACCCTTGTATAAATAAGATTGTAGTTTTACTACAGAATAAAATGTCTTTTGTTCATGTAACTCAAAGTTACTAACTGCATTTGATGAATAAACTATGGAACCATGATGGGCAATGTGTTTCAAATTCAAATTCAAATTCAAATTTCAAGCCCACTCAGAAGTTCATTAACTTAGCTTGCATGATAGCTGACGAAGGTTGATGGGGTCTAGAAGATCACATACTACCTGCTCCAGCACAAATACAATGTAAATAATTTTGTATAACTATGTAATGTAAGAAAATGCCCTTAACTTTCATCTAGTATGCTGCAAAGATTAAAAATAAATATTAGAATAAGCTGTTAAGATAAACACTTGGATCTTATTCTCATTCACAGGAAGAAAGTGATGCCGAATGTATGCTTAATTTTCCAACAGAAATTATGAAAAAATCTTTTTACCAACAACAGTTGGCAGATTGTTCTAAGAAAACTGTCATTTTTTTCTGAACATTTTTGAGGGTTAACCCTAACCCTAACTCTAACTTAAAAGTCAATTTGGGAAGCAAGTGCAGGAGAATATTATCCTACCACATAGACATGTTGCATCTCCCTATTTGTTTTTAAGGCCTGCAGCCTTCCCTTAAGCAAGGAAATAGAAATAAGGCAGAAAAACTGTGCAGCCCCACAAGGGAGAACAGCAGCTTTTATTTGCAACAGGTTTACACAACTCAATGCATTCTGAGATCCAGTTTTACATTTGTATTAAGAGAATTGCATAACTACATTTAAACATGTAAAAGCATTTCTGTAACAATTTAAACCCACATATACTTCTTATCCTCCTTATTCTTGATGCTTTTGACTTCCAAACTGAGCTACAAATAGTAATTGTGCAATCTATTGAGGTGGCAGATTCATGAAGAAGCTGTGGTTTTTGAGATCATCACTTCAGTTCACTTACGCAGAAAAAATTCTCAACTTCTGTCCTCCTTAGTCAGGAGAATCATCAAAATCACACACACACACACACACACACAAAAAGGGGGGGGGGGCGGGGCGGGGAAGAAGAGCAGTTCTTATTTGGCCAAAAAAAAAATGCTTCTTCCGAATTAGTTAATGCAGACCTACCTTTCAAAGCCACCACAGCCTCGCTTTCCTCCTCCATAAAGCTCAGGGTCACAGGCATTCCAAGATGAAGCAGAAGGTCCAATATAGGTTCTACTCCAACTTTTGGTGCTATGCTGTAATGCTTCTACTTGCTTCTTCACTGCTGCTGGATTCTTACAGTAATCACAGCTTCTGTTACATTGGGGAACATCATCTCCAAAGTAGTTGGCTATGGCAGCATGGCGACAACTAACAGCCAAAAAAGAAGCAATGTTAGATCGGGGAAAAGGAAAGGAAACAGAGAAAACGCTTTTCTTATAGTGGTTTGGAAAGTTCAGAGACCGTCTGAAGGTAGCCAAATTAAAAATACTCACAGGATAAGGACACGGGGACACGAAGAGCATTATTTGCTTACCATGCTTTCTAGACTACTGAAAAGTGCTAGACTTCTATTTTGAGATAATTTGAGTATACAGCTTGGTAACCTTAATGATCTGTTGACAACCTCTCCTACTAGTCTCTAACCAGAAGTTATAAAGGCAGTTATAACACATCAAAACCACAGGCATTTAAAATTACAATGAGGTCTTGTTTTAGGGTTGATTCATATTAACCTTTTCCTTCATACATGTTTTTATAAATGTTATTGGGCAGAGTATCAAATGGAAAAATATGCTGTATGCTGTTCATGTTAGAGCAACTACCTAACTGGCTGGATGAATGGAACTCTGTGTACAGACCATAGAAGGTCAATAAAAAGCAGTCCTTGTTGACTGAGCTAAAAGATACCTTTGGGAGAAGGATAATCTATTTCTGTTGACAACATTAAAAAAATAAATAGAATGAATGCCAATGAACCAACATTCTCCTTTCCATCCTTGCCATTTAGCACAGGCTCTTCATGAGATGGAAATTACTATTTAATAGAGACTTTCAAAAGCTTATTTTTTTCCTACTGTATTAATTTCCAAGCATGCCACAATTGCAGTTATAAACATATAAACTGCAGCTGTCTTTACTTGGAAGAATAGCAGCAGTTAAGATGAATATTTTGCCAAGATTTCTTTTTTTGTTTCAAATGATTCCGGTGCTTAAAAGTGATAAACAACTGAAAGAATGGCAAAGCAGAGTGAATAAGTTTGTCTGGAACGAGAAAAAACCGAGAGTGAAATTGAAAATAAACATATAAACTGAATATATATTTTGTCTCATTCTGCATTACCAAAGGAATGTAGGCTTCAGTTTATTTCCAATGATAGGTACAATATCCTAAGGAGTTCATTTTTCCTTATTCCAAATAATACGAAAACCAAAACATCTTCCATTTGAAAGCAGGCTTATGCTGGAAAGATATGAACCACAAGTAGCAGAGTATTTTTATGGCATTTTAAAAAATGCCTTTTGAGGCATTTCCCCATTAAATTCTAGGAGGAAGGAGTAAAACTTTGCAAGAGTCAGGACTATTTCAGCAAATGTACAGATAAAACAATCACCTGTTTGTGCTAACACTTAGTACCCATCCGGTTGAGAAAGCTGAATCTGTGTCAGATAGTCAGCTGGTGGCTTAAAATCTCTGAATACAAAAAGTTAGGATGGAGAAGAGAAAAAAAAAATGCTACAAAGCTACCCTTATCAGTTCTGCAAAGTGACACTGACTCACACTGCTCTTGGACTAAAAGAAAGCCTCTTTTCACAACCAATGAAAGATTATCCGGTTGAATTTTTTTTCTTCATGCCCTTCTAGCAATTGCTAGCATTACCCAGCTGGAAATGCCAAGGGTCTTTGGCAGTCCCATTTTTTTTTTCTCTCCAGAAAAGGAAAAGAACAAAATATAATTTGGTTACGCCAGGAAGGAGACTTTGTTTTTTAATTATTAGCACTCCCGCAGGGCTTCCAAGGTAACAGAAAAGAACTCAGTATGTACAACTAAAGCCGTATTCTCATCTTTAAAATGATACTAGTTAATAAAAATGCAGGCAATGTTTTTAATTAGTGGTTGAGGCAATGGAGTTACAGGTTCAAGTCAAAAGGTCAATCTCTGGCAGAGTTACAAGAACTGGCCAAGTTGCCAGTTGGTTTCTTGGCTGGAAGGGGCTGATGGTCTTTCTTAGAATAGTCAGAGCAGCTTTCTTTGGAATACTTTATTCATGACCTTAGAGCAGCCAACTCTCTGCAAAGTGCTAAATTGAGGCAGAGGATGTGGGGGAAGGGAGGAGGAGGAGGAAGAAAAAGAAGAAAAATGGAAATCAGAGAAGCTGCTCTCTTTCTTGCAAGGAATAGCATGGAATCAGAATATCTAACTATCTATCCATCCATCCCTCCATCCATCCTTGTCTGTCTGTCCGTCCATCCATCCATCCATCCATCCATCCATCCATCCATCCATCTTCCTCCCCAGCCTACCCTACCCTGCCCTGCCCTGCCCACTGCCCTGGAAGTGCACATGCTTCCACTTGTATCTTCCATGTATTAACAGTTCTTCTCAAAACCTCTCTTCCCATTGGGGGGGGGCACAGCCATTGTATAAACTGGGTCTTTTGATTCTTTTTCATGGAGTATTTCACAGGAGAAAAATAAGCCTGCAAAGATCTTCTGGTATCTGTTGAGGAAGAGCCTTTCGGTTATCTCTTCCATTCTGTTGATTTTGCTAAGAACAAATCATTCTTTTTCTAACACCCATCACAAAATTAGCAGTCTCCAGTGATGTGGAAAAGAACTTAAGAGTTGCCCAGACAGTGTGAGAAAAGAGCTGAAGAAATTTCTTAGATGCAATCAATAGTTGCACAAAAAGTTGTAACAACTCTTGATTGCCTTATGGCAATAGTGAGACTTCAGTTGTGTTTTTTTCCCTTCTTGGTGAGTATGTAATATGAAACTTTACATCTCCAGGATACTAACAACAAAAAGAAAGAGTGCCAGCACGCATGTACGCACGCACACGCAGGCAGGCAGAGAAAGCAGCTGGCTGTCAGTAACAAGGATAAGAGAAACAGAGGAGGGAGATATGCGTTGAGAATCAAAAATGCAACGGGAGCTGACATGAAAGGGCAGTGACACAAAAATACAAAGGACAGAGAAAACAAAGTTCTTCAACGCCACTGGAGAAAAGCTCTTCTCAAACAGAACCACAGAGGAAGACTGATCTGTTCAACTTACAGTTCAACGTAAGTGTTTGTAAATGGAGAGGAAAGTGTGTAAAAAGGACACACCGGGGCAGGGGAGTGCAGGGTGGGGAGATAAAGGCTTTTTGCTGGGCTGGCAAAGTTGCACTGCAGGAAAAGTGTGTTAACAGATCTGTTTCTGCATGTTCCCTTGTATTCTTATTTCTTAGTAACTCAGCACCGAGAACTTAAATTGGTAACAGGAAAAATACTTGAGCACCCATAGTTATTGATGCAAGTTAAAGTAACATAGATTCCTTGCTAGTTTGAAATGTATGCATTATCCTACACAAATTAAATGCTATTATGAACAAGAATTTAAGAAATATTTTAAGGAGTTTCCCAGTCTTGATCCGTAAGGCATTTTCTGACAATCAACTATAGATGTTGAAGGAATACTTTGGAATTTGCTAATTGTTATTACTGTAGCACTTTTTTCTGAGAGGGTGAAATTTTTGTCTTCAGGAAGAGAGCTCTATTGCTGTTGCACAATCGCTGAAATTTGACTCACAGAATTGGTCATTATACCAAGTAGTGGAAAAAATATCAAAAATTTTTATGCTTTCACTTCACTCTCCAGCAGTGTCTGAAGGAAACAGCTGCATAAATACCTTTTAACAAAGTCAGTTATCAAGGCATTCTATGTGAATTTATGTTGATGTGTAATTTATTATTGTTATTGTGTTGACAATGTAAAGGGAAAAGTTTCAGCTGCTCTAAGAGTTGCACTAAATTTAGTAATATTCTTTAAAACAGTGACATCTTTATCTTAGGTTTGGACTGCTCGAGATGCTGTGCTTGTTTGAGGACGGAACACTTCTTTCAAATATCTTTTGAAGCATGAATAGCTTAAGCAGAGTATAATTTCAAAATAGATTGGTATTTTATGGAAATCCGAGCTTATTTATTAAGAAGCAATGACTAAATTAGTGTGGTGTTTGAATAATGCAGGTATTTTTTTAAAAAGCAACCGGATCAATTAGTGACATGGTCACAATGGGCTACATAAGGGAGTTACAATAAGGAACAAATTCAGTTCCAAAATGAACAGTAATATTAATGTTTTGCCTATCTGCATATTCAAAAGCATGACATATCTGCTGATACTCATCCGCCAATATGCCAATACTCCTGCCTCTAACTTGTCTGGATTGGCAAATTTCTGTGTAAGAAAAAAATGAAACTTGTAGGATGACATTCCAAACATTGTAGATAATTTGTAAGATTCCTCCAAAACTCTTCAAAAGACCAGCGTAAAGCTCTGTTAAATTCCACAGTAAATTTGACCTAAAGAAATCTTGGCACAGACCACTGTACAATAAAAAATATGGTTGTTCTTTCATTTACTTTGTGCTAATAAATGAACATGGGTACTCACCTCACATTAACTAAATGTTCATTTTACTGTTCACTAAGAAAGATCTGTATTTGGAAGCAGCCAAACATGCATTGATTGGCTTGATCTAATATTATAAATTAATTTTTTTCTTTATCCTATTTTTAGGATTATACATATTTATATTACATTTCTTAATGTAAAATATTTTTGAAGCTGATTTCATGTTTTGCTTGTAACAAGTTTTGTTAGTATATGTTACTACTGCATCCTGTAAATTGGCCAAAGGCATCAATCTAGTTGGCAGCATATACATTTTCTAAATATATACATATAGAGACCTCCAACCTACAAGCGCATATGTTGCAATACGTTTGTTACCCTTCAAGATACAATAACATACACAATTATTTTAACTGTAACAGGCTATCATCCTTAAAAGATTTAAAGAGAGCTTTAAATCTGAAGAGCTTTTGTCCAAGAAAACAAATTGTGAGAAAATTGGGGTGACTTGTGGAAAGGAAAAATGTTTTTATAAAGGAACACGGAAGTACAATTTGATATTTTCTTTCCGTTTCTATGCAAGCCTGACTTCACCAGCACATTATATTATCAGCTTCCAGCTAATACCAACAACTAGTACATGCTTCACCTTTCAACTATAGATTTTAAGCACCTACACAGAAGTTATTGTCTAAAAATTTAATAATCAGTTGTGGCAGAGGGCTAACTGTATATAATCCGAATCCTAGTTTGAGGACTTCCAAAACTGATTTTCAAAATGTAAAAACTAATTGAGAGATAGTAATTTTCTCCAAGATCTAAAGAGTTATAGGGAGATTAATTTTAAAAAATGAGAGGCCCAAGCAGCTAAACTGCAGAAATTAAAAAACAACAGGCTTTCTTAGGAATTTGGCATCAGATGCGACTTCAAGACAGTTTGTAACAGCAGTCCCAAACAAAACAAACAGATCCAGAAGTCTATAAAAACAGAGGCAACAGTTGCCACACTACATTTAGTTAGAAAGGGGCACTTCATATCAAATACACAACAGAACAAAGCAGTTCTGTATGTTATTTATATTATATCTCATCCTTCCATTTAAAGATGTTAATGATGAATATAATAAAAGCAAAGCTAAAACTAACACATTAGAATTGGAACAAGTGAAAACTTAAATATCTGAGAAGCTTATTACGCCTACAAAACCAGGGTTTTTTTCTCCATCAATACAAAACATTTCAGTGGCAAGCTCTCATATGAAGAAAAGACCGTATTTGTAGTTAATATTCCTTTCACTTCCAAAGGGATAGAGATCAATGGAAAACTCTTTGAGGAATATCTTAATCTTTAAACAGATTTGTGTGAGTAAAATTTGTCCTTAGAAATCTTTTTCTGTCAGCTAAATGTTCAATGTTGTTGTGGGGAAAATATGAAAATGGTATGCTGGATATGATCACCATCTTGAATTATTTGCAAAAATATAGAGTGGGGTACAAAATAATAAATAATTCCATCTGCATAGGTTAGTTATTTAAGTTTCTTGCCATTATTGCCTCTACTTTTTCTGCATAAATTTTCCATTCGTTAATCGTTCTTCCATAACAATCTAGGACTAAAAACTAAAGTTTTTCTCATTTTGGGTGTTGGCAATATAGGCTTCCAAACTATCTTTTGTATTAGCTTTTTCTAAATATGCAACAACATAGAGAAAAAATTGGAGGTTTAAAACTCTATGTCACCCTTAATCCTGGTTTAGAAAACTGTGTAATATGGGGTAACTCACAGTCTAAAATCTTCTGACTCTTGATCATAAGGTATGTGACAACATAAGAAATAATTGAATAATACCGTTACAGGACTCAGACATTGTGGAGAGGATCATTTTAACCATATAAGGTCTCTGTGCTTAAAAATAGACAATTTGCTCAAACACACCAGAAAGCAGGTTTGCTTCAGTAAGGATCTGTCTTACTGAAATACTTTAGTCACTTTTTGTTGGTGGAGATAAAAGTTAACCAAATCCCACCCTTTTTTTTCTTTGTACATGAAGCTAATTAGATCAAACTACTGATATAATGGTTCTGCAATCACTTCTGGGTGGCAATACAGCATAAAGATTCAAAGAAGTCTACAGTCTTGATGGAAAGAAAAGCCTCAAGCTAAATTCTCCACAATAGGAACTTTTCCAGAATTCCCTAATTCACCTTAAACTTTTGATACAAATTGAGGTTCAAAGTAGAGCCAACTGATCTTAGGTGTTTTTTTGTTTTTTGTTTTTTGTTTTTTTGCTAATCTGTTTTGCAATGCATTTAGAACGTTCAGCAAGGAGATAATTAAATTACTATTAAATTATTAATTAAGTAGGAGAATTACTATTGTCTCTCTCTAGCTAGACCTCTTGCTATTAGCTGAAAACAGAGAATGGAAGGAAGGCTAAATAAAAAAGAAGATTCCAGAGAAGGCTAAAAGACAGGGAGGAAAAACAGTCCAACATTCTGTGGCCAAAAGAAGAGAAAAGCATCCAACATTTGGCCAGAAATGTATGCAGCAGCTAAAAGGAAACATGCAATTTAAAACACATGTCTTCCACATAAGAACCCTTGCTTGCATTGCCAGCTGTCATGTAATAAAGAGGCCTCTTGGTCTTCTAAAGCGGTATTTTTCAGGCTCAGCAACTTTTAAGATGTGTGGACTTCAACTCCCAGAATTCTGTTGCCAGCAAGCTGGAATCCCCACATTTTAAAGTTGCTGCTCTTAAACACAACTACCAAGTAGCTTTTATCAGTGCTAGGCACAACAACAGGCTAGCATAGTATGTCATTCACTTTACAAAAACTTTGAACAATACCTAGATGAAACATTAAGACAAAACAGAATTTTCCTTTATTTCTGTAAGTATTTGGACTTGATCCTTTTCATGAAAATCTTCTGGAATATCTGTATCACTGCATTCACTTTAAGAAACAGCACTTTAAAACAATGGGCTAAAGCACTCTCAGACCATTGTACAAACACCTCAATAAAGATCTGAATGTATGCACATGACCTTAACCTGCTGATTTGTTATCCAGTGCTGCTTCTTGAGGAGTCAAAAGCAAAAATAATAATCCCCTAATTCAGGTTGTTAGGGCAGGACAGGCATTCTGGAATACGTGCATACAAAAACAGATACAAAAACAAATTTTTGCTAATCAAAAGAGCTTTCCTTATTTTCCCAAAGCGGACCCATTGTCAAACTACTTCCTACAACAGACAAGATTTGTTCAAAGGAGTACCCTTAAGAAAGGCTCTTTTAAGCTAGCTAGCCAGACTGTGTTAGGCTCTTGTACATAAGGTGAGAAAATGAACAATGGGTTCCCCGCATCCAATTGTTTAGTATAAGCAACTGGCAGTTTTAATAAAAGAATGTCATTCTTAGATTCCATCAGGAGCCACTAATTCTGTGCCTTAGAAAAAGACAGTCACCTTCCCCTGGGCTGTGTGATCCCCAGTAGTCTGTTTCCTCTCTCTTTAAATTTTTGGCAGCATAGAAAGGGGACCTGCATATGCATGAATGAAAAACTTGCCTTTTTTTGTGGAATAAATATCATAACAGAAAAGAAGCCATACTTCACCACACATGCAAGCTACTCAGTTCAATCAGAGGGGTTTGCAGTTCTCAGAGAGCTCAGCTAACAATCTGCATGTCATTGTGCAAGTTAAAAGAAAATGGAGAGTGAAGGAGAATTTGAGAAAATCAGTTCTGTACAGGTAGTCTTCAACTTACAACCACAACTGAGCCCAAAATTTATGTTGCTAAGTGAGAAATTTGTTAAATGAGTTTTGCCCCATTTTAAGACTTTTCTTGCCACATTTGTTAAGTGAATCACTGCAGTTGTTAAATTAATAACATGGTTGTTAAGTGAATTTTGTTTCCCCATTGACTTTGCTTGACAGAAGGTCATAAAAGACAATTACATGACTCCTGGACACTGCAACTCTCATAAATGTGAGTCAGTTGTCAAGCATCCGAATGTAAATCACATGACCATGGGGATGTTACAACAATTGTAGGTGTGAAAAATGCTTATAAATCACTTTTTTCAGTGATGTTGTAACTTTGAACATCACTAAATAAATTATTGTAAGTCTAGGACTACCTGTATCATGTTCCATTGGTAGCTGTGGGAGTAGGTAAAATTATAAGCCAAAAAATTAAACATAAATATATACAGAGAGTTTGATGTGATCATTTTCCTAGAAAAAACTATTTTTCCCCATGTAGTGGATTGACTATGCATACTTTACTGACAGAGGCAATCAAATGCCAGACTGAAGAACAACTGTCAATAAAAGCAAAATAAAATCCTGATTGGTCGGTAATGAAACCTGGTAAACTTTTGGGTGAAGAAACCACTACAATTATTCAGATCATTCAATTATTGTCTTTTGAAAAATTTCTTCTGCTCATTCTCATTTCACAGGTCACATACAGAAATTGCCATTTGGCAGGCAGGCAAAAATGCCAAAGCTAAAGCTTTAAATAATTTTTTAAAGTGTCAAATTAATCTTAATCACTTGTTCTAATCAGCGCTCTCAAAATATTGCATTCAGTGTGAAGGAGATTGTTTTACTCATGACTTGCTGATATTTGGATAGAAATGGGAATGCCAGCCAACCAACCATACTTTTTTTTCAACAAATACAAAAAGAGTACAAAAGTACTGGTGTCCTAATTCAGATAGCTATAAATGTACTATGCTTATCATTACAAGAACTTATTACAGCCTCCTTAACAAGTCATGTTCTTCTCATGCTGCAGGTTGAAGATTTTTCCCATAGTAATAAAATGGGAGGAGTGAAAAAATAACTACATCAGATCAGCAATCTAAGTGGAAGAACATAGGGATACAGTAGAGAGCATCTGGATAAAAATCAGTGATTGCATTAACAAAATCATATTATTATTGGTACCTCCATTGTTCGCCCTAACCAAGGAAACTGGATAATACTTTACAAAAGCAAATTGTACATCTTTCAAAAAGATACAAAACAATAGTGATGGCTGCCACAACTTCTGTTGGAAGAGCAAACCATGTAAAGCATGGACCTTCCATGAAATTTATAACTTGCCATCCATTTTCTCCTTCAGAGAGTACAATATGTTATCCTTTACTTGATATTATCCACAAAGATATGAACAAATTGTGCAATGATGAAGTTTGGAGACAGAAAGATTTTAGGGAAGGGATCTGGTGCATGGCCATCCAATTTGATCTAGTGAGACAGGGGGACAGTCTTAGGAAAAGGCACTCCCGCAAATAACCAGGTCCCATGCCATATAAGGTTTTTAAGGGGTTAACCAGCAACTTGAACTGCACCCAAGGTTTTAATTCAGCCCCATCACTGCCACAAGTGCTATACCACAGAGTGCTATGGTAAGTCCTGAATGGTCACTGAACGAATGTCATAAAGCAAGGAGTACCTGTGCTCTCATAATAACCAACTGTATATCACCACCTCAGGTCGTGAGGGAGATGCTGTTGTCATTCTTTCCTGGTATCTGGAGGCAATCAAGGTCCGGATGGGAGTGAGCACACTGAAGCTGAATCCAAGTAAGTCAGAGTTGCTGATATTGCCTCTTTAATGGGCAAGCAATATTTAGCAGAGAGCAGGCTCACCACTTGGGATCCTTCTGGATTTGCAGCTCTGGCTAGAACAGCAGGTGGAAGCTGTTGCCAAAAGGACATAGCTTTGTGCCAGCTGTGACCTGACCCTGGGGTAGAAGAACCTGGCTACAGTACAGTAACTCATTATTACCTCATCACTACCCAGTTAGACTACTATGATGCACTCCAGTTGGGGCAATATTTAAAGGCTATTTAGAAATTACAATTAGTTCAAAACACAGTGACTCACATAACTTCTGGCCTTCTGAAGGTTAGAATATACAACATTTGGCTTTCCAGACCTTGTCTTGGTTGCCTATTGGTTTTCGAGTACCATTTAGGGCACTGTTTTCAACCTATAAAGCCCTTTATGATTTGGCATCAGGACACCTGCAGGACTGCCCACTCAAACCAGTAGTGCCTTTATGAAACAAAGCTGGAGCAGATGCTGACATTAAGTTGGTGAAGGGGCTCTGCACAAAACATAGTTATTTCACTTAGTAGAGTCTTAGGAACAATAACCTGCTACCAAGGACAGTGAACTTCTGAATATTCCTTGGAAGAATGTCTAAGAAATTCCTTCTACAGAGCATATTCTGGAGAAAGAAGTCTGCTCCATCATCAAGGTTTGGAGAAACAACCTAAAGGTTGAGGATACCTATATAACTATCTGCAATTCATTACCACCTGACAGGAAAGCATACAGGAAAAACAAGTTTAAAATCATTACTATCGCATACCCATAGGTGGTTTTTCAAGAAGCAACTGGACTTTCTGGTTTTTCTTTGAAGACGTTTCGCTTCTCATTCAAGAAGCTTCTTCAGCTCCGGCTGGATGGTGGGGAATGGAAGGATTTATACTCCTTGCAGACAGCTGGTCATTTGCATTCTAGAGTTCTTTTGTCTTCAAAGAAAAACTAGAAAGTCCAGTTGCCTCTTGAAAAACCATATTTGGAACAACAATGACCTGGATGACTGAGAATCTCCATAAACATTTATTATAGGATACCATTATATAAACAAAATATCAAGATTGCTTCACACTATAATGAATGTTTGCATGAGCTGAACTGCTATTGCATTTCAATGGGGAAAATAACATTCAAAGAGAAGAAAGCAAGCTTAAGGACAGTTCGTTTTTAAAGTGACTGGATTTTTCTATGAAGAATTGTTTATTAATGAAATGGTATACAATAATGCATTGCTTATTATGTATTTTGCTTGGAATAAGAAATAACTCCATAATTTTGGCTTTAAAAGCTGCATCCAAGTGGAGAGTGAGAGTAGTTCCTCAAATCCACAACCATAATTTATAAAAGGAAAAGCTAATGTTAACAAATTATCCATTTCTGGAATATGCTTTATATTCAGTTCACTGTGTTAATCTAGTAATTTTTCATTGCTTTAATAGGTACTGCAATGGAAATCTACATTTAAAATAGACTTTGCAAAGGAAGTCTACATTTAAAAATATCAATATGTACAATTTAGGAAAAAATAAGTCTCCTTTACCTGCAATCCCACAAGCCACCATTATTTATTATCATATGCTCCAAGTTTTTCCTAAGCCTTGCAATGACACACTTTTTACTTTCTCACACTAAATCCTAAACACTTAATTTTTTTGCCAATTCAAATCCTTAAGTTTGCAAAAGTATTTATACATGATTGAAGAATGGCTTAGAATTCAAGATTTGTATGAAGATAGTTAATTGCTGTTTTCAAATTTCAAATTTTCAAACCAAGTTGTTTCACAAGATCTTTGTGTCTTTGTATACTCAATGGCTTTGTCATGAAATCAGCTAAGTTGTTTTCTGATAGACAATAAATTAGGTCTATCACATTTTCTTTCACTGCTTTTCTGACATAATATTTTATGTCAACATGCTTGCTTCTGGTTTTTACTCTCTCACCTGTTGCCATTTGTATATATGTTGTGCTACTTCAAATATTGGTATAGCTCCTTTCACTTCAATATCCAAATCCTTTAACAATTGTATATACCATGTTAACTCTGAGCACAATTCTGGCAATGCTATGAACCTCCTCAGCTGTGAAAATGGCAACTGAAGTCTGTTTTCTAGATTTCCAACCAATAGTGTATTTGCAAACATTACAACAAATCTTGACATTGTCCATCTTGTACATCATTAGCCCAATCACTGGTTACAAAACATTTCAATTCCCAATTCATTTGATGGTTGAAAATGCAATCCAAAATCCATGTTTCCTTTTAAATGTAGTATTCTTTTAATTCTTAACCAGTGTTGTTATGTAGGCTTTGAGCAACTAACCTTGCTTTATATTATACTTCATCATTCATCAAAAGTTTCTTTTTGTATACCTATCTGCACCCAACAGCTTTTTCTCTCTCTGGTAACCCCATTGGAGTGAAAACTTTGTTTTTGCATAGGCAACATTTCTTTATCTATAACCTCTTTCCATTTCTTTTGTTCTGCCAGAGGTAAATTGAATACTTCCTGGTAATTTGAGGGCTCATAAAAGATGTCACATATTTTTTACCTCATCAACTGTGAATCTTTCTGGAGGGACATCTTTGTTTGCTCTCTCAGCCGTCCTTGGAATAAACTCTTCCTGTTTCACTGGAATTTCACTCTCCAAACATTCCCCTGAGCTATACACAAATCCTAAACTACTCTTGGATTCCTGTTTAACTTGCCTGTGTGAATGTTCATTCATTGGAGACCTCTGACTAACAGGCATTAAAATTTCAGTACTGGCATGAATCTTTTCCCAATTCTCATGTTCTGAAAAATTTGCAGAATGTGAGATAATAACATTTACAGATGGACACAAAAATGCCTTTGATCCTGATTGATAACCTATAAACTTCATTTAATCCCTTGCCTTTGGCTGTCCTTTCCTCCTCATTGTCTTGGGAATGTGCACCCGTGCACTGTCACCAAAGATTCTTAAATGTGCCAAGGATAGTTGTCTTTTATATAACATGTAATATGGAGTTTCATTAATTGTTGAACTCCATAGTCTATTACCAAATAATTGGCAGTTAAAATTGCTTCACCAATACAGTTTACTCATTCCTGATAGTGATAATGTATCTTTCATAGTTTGTAACCCACAATTTCTGCATTCAACAATTCCATTCTTTGCCAGAGTGTAGAGATTCATTCTTCTATGGGTTATGCCTTTCTTTCTCAGCCACTGCTGAAACATGTTAGACATGAACTCTGTTCCTCTGTCTGTTTGTAGTTGACATACCCTCCTGTCTATGAACATTACCCACTGCTTAAATTGCTGAACAGTTCTGTTTTGCTTTTTAGTAAAAACAATACTCATATCTTGAGAAATCATCAACAATTACCTAAGCAAATTTGGCCTCTCCCATTGATGGAGCTAGAGGGCCAATTAAATCAGTATGTATTAACTGAAAAATGCTGTCAGATTTCCTATCACTTCTTTTGCTGACAGGGTTTATTTTCGATTTGGTTTCTTTGCAAAATCCAAATAGTTGTCACAATCTTCTACATTCAAGTCAGGCATTTTCTGTAATACTTTAAAGTTTGCATGATCCAGTCTTCTGTGCAATAAATGTGCACAGCTATTATGCTTTGATTCATTAGAAATTGTTTGCATACTGCCACTAGTTTTCTTGTGGTTCAAAACATAAATTGTTCAGTTTCAAATCTTGTGCACACACTGATAGTCTTTATGACTTTGCATGTACCCTTTCTAAAAATTACCTCATATCCTTCATTCTTCATCTCCACTCTCCAAGACACACTCAGCAAATTGTGATCTAAATCTGGTACACAAAACCTTATCAAACGACTTACCAATACATGGTACATATACTGTTCCTTGCCCCTGTACAAAAGAACGATTACCATTTGCCAGGCTTACATATTTCTGGGCAGCTGGTCCCAGACTGGAAAAAGTTGTTTATAATATGCTCCTTTGCCCCACTGTCCAACAACCAAATGTCTTGAATGCCTTTGTTGTTTGCCTTCACCATAGAAATCTGTGTGTCTCCCTTCTTCTATTGTTGTGCTGTCTCTCTGTTTGTTTCTTTTAATCTTTTTACTGGGCAATTTCTCTGGATATGTTGAGTGGATCCACATATAAAGCAGCGTTTTTAGTACACAGATTTTCTCTCCCATCTTGTTATCTCTCTGGAATGCAGATCTTTTTTGACTGAGCTGTAAATTACTATTGTTACTCTCAGGTGCAATGTTTCTCACTAATTTTTTCTGTTCTTCTTCCAAAAGCCTCCTGGTTATATAACTCAGTTAAATCATGCTTTTTCATGGACTCCAGGTTTGCTACTAACATGTCCCATGTATCATCAAGGGAACACAGCACCATACACTTTGTGCTGCTTCTGAAAACACCATTCCTTGCTCTTCTAGGAAGGTTTCCTCATGAACTGGAGGTGATTTGACAGACTTTCTCCAGACTATATAGCCTTGCTCTATAAAGTTTTCTGGTGAGAGTTACTTGCTGCTTGCCATCTTCCTTACATAAATTCTGGGTAATGCAAAGCAGTATTCCCTAGCAGTTGTGAGCCCACGCACATGTATTACCTGACTATCCTCCCAGCACAAAATTATGCTTTTGTTGTTCCTCATTAAGTTTTGCTGGAGGATTGCTTACAACAGTCTACAAATCCTCCTTTCCAGAAACATCTCCATCTTTATGCTCCATGAGAGATAATTCATCCTAAAGAAGAGCCAAAGGAAATCCTCCTCCCATTCCTGTAACATAGCCTCATGCTGTCTGTACAAGCCAATAATCCTCAACCTTTCTAGGACTCACAAAAATTTTTTTACATCAGAGAAATTTTCTACTGTCATGTCAGGGAACTTCTGGGCCCATAACCTGTTAGGGAATTGTGCAGCAGGTGTCCAAATGAAGTCAGAGATGCTTACACGAACTTGTAATTTTATATAAATAAATATATTTAACATATATTTACAACAAATAACATAGCCAGGCACATCACAGGCACATCATGATGGTAAATCACAAAACAGCAAAAAGGCGGGAAAAAGGGAAAGTCCCCCTTTACATCCAGCAACCAATCATAATGTAGATTGCCTCATGCAGGAACTCATGCATTCTCCAACCAACCAACTACCACTGTGTATTTTGGCCCATTATCCACTTTACTATTCCAGCTATTAAATTAAATATCTTAGCACATTGCTTAGATAATAATTCTCTAATTCACAAGTTCTACCCTATATTTGATATTTAAGAAAAAAATATCAGCTTTATTTTGACATAATGCTAGCAATTATTGATTCAAATGTGATAGATTTGAGGTATTTATAATTTTATTCCCATATTTCTGCCAACACACATAGAGTATAAGACTACATACATTTACCATTTATAATTTAAAATAAAAATATATATTACAAGGTGTAAAATAACAAGAACCTCCCATAAATATAAAAGTAGGCTATGTGATGTCTATAGGCAATCTATTTTATGGACACCTGTTTTGACATTCACCAATCTTCCTTGAGTCTCATTTTAAAGCATTGGTGTTAAGCATTTTCTTTATTCAAAACTACATCTCTGGACCTCCACATAACCAACCGTTTGTTTAGAAATATGCCCACATTTTCCCAGGTAAAAAACAAGTTGTTCTGAAGTGCGAGGGGAGGTAAGGAGAAGCATTGTCCTTGATTTGTAAATGGACACTCTGTGAATCACCCTGCCCAAATGACAGGGTGATTTTCTCAAACTGCCTGATCCCCCCACCATCAGTAGCCAAAATCCATTTCCAAGTCCAATGCCATTAATACTATAATTGGAGCTAGTCTAATTCCTTAGGTTAAGGAGTTCCCTTGAGATTTTAATTACATTACATGCTATTACATTATCATTTTTTCAACAGCTTAAAGGCAATACAGAGCTCATAACAAATTGGTAGCTAGGTCAAAAAGAATGAACCTGTAACAGATGTTTTCTTTGTGGTTCCTTTCTTATTATTTTCTGGTATGTTATACCTTCATAATTTCTGTGCTATGTTTTAAAATATATCTAATCTGAGTTATACTATAAAACACTGAACAGAACACTCAGAATGAAATAGTGATGCCACTCTTAGCCTAGAGGTTTCAGAATGTACCATGTAGCAGATAGAACCCCAACAACTCTGGAACAGAAACAAATACTTCTTAGTAGATGGAACATAGAACTTAGAACATCATTTATTATGTGAAAGGCAATATGATGCACTTCATGTTGGATTTGCTCCAAGCTTGCTTTACTGTGAGATGGAATTATTTTCTCACTGGAAGATCAAGAAAAGCTAGCAAGTGAATTATAAACCCCCCTTAACTGTCAGTATGCTGTCAAAATAGAACAAATCATATCATCACTGATAATGTACTATGAAGATACAACACGCATACTTTAAATAGATACATATACCCATGATTAATTGTTTGGGCTCTATACAAGGAGATGCTACACTCGTGCTACAACTCTAAAATGAGACAAATGCAAATTAGCATTTGATTGCTTTCAATGTATTTTTATGTTTGGGCAACTTTGGAGAACCTTCATCCAAGCAGCTGTCTGAAAATCCTGGGGCACAGCCCGGATAAACTTGTTTTGTTAATGATCTTGCTTTTTGCTGGCTTCAAATAAAAGGCAGGTCTTTCTCCTAGCGCTCACAAGCTGAAACTAAAGCAAAACACATTGTCTTCTGCCTTCCTCTCTGTACCCCAGTGCTGCAAGCTGTGGACTGAGAACAGCAGAATGTCCTTCAAAGAATTTCAGAACGAGCTCAGTGCTATTGGTTACAAATTATGGCTTAAGCTCCAGAGACTACACAAAGCTGACCCGCTGGAGATTGTCTGTTTTTTTATTATTATCTTATTCATTGGTAAGTATCCAGCTTCCTGATGCTTGCAACAGATCCAGGCTCAACTAATATGTTTGATAGAAGCTCTAAATAGTGCTGTTTCATAAGCTTATTCTGTAATTTAAATCTTTTCTGATTTATAGAAGGCTATAAAGTTCAGAAGGAACTAAATGCTTTAATTTAGAATGGGATAGTCTGAAGTCTTTATGTATAGTGCAATACAGCAAAGCTTTTCAATATGGTAACATGTATACAATATTTAAATTAAGCTTCTCCAACTGAGTGGCTTCAGAAATGCAGGGCCACAATGCCTACTATTCCAAATCAGCATGGTCAATCAACAAAGTAAGAATGATGAGAATAAGGCTTTTGATTTAAGAACTGTGCTAGCATATTTTTCGTTCCAGGTTATGAACACTCTCTAGGCATAGATAGTCCTTGTTTAATGGCTATTACTAGTTACAACAGTGGCAAAAAAGTAACTTTACAACCAATCATCACATTTATGACCTTTGCTGGGTTGTAAAGAAAAAGAAAGGTGAACTAACATCATAAGAATGATTTCCTTTAACAACCGCTTTGCTTAATGACCAGTTGCCAGTTCCAATTGTGGCTACTAAGCGAGGACTACCTATAATTGTAAACTTGCACATCTCAACATTATACTGAAGTATGCATGTTTTTATCTGGACATTTATCAGTGTAAAAAGAAGGGATACTTGAAGCACTAGAAAGCAGATTGTGTGGAGCAATATGAAATGTCTGTGATTATATTTCCATGGAACATATTTACTTCTGAAATATTCTAATAACATGGGCATATTTGAACCAGCTTCGAACTAGATCAGGAGTTCACAGGACAAATAAACATTTAATTAAGGCCCATTAATTTTTAGGAAGTTAACCATTGAATAAAAGCAGCTGAAGAATAAGTTAAAGTGTGAAAAGGAGAGGCTGGCAGACAAGCCTGAACAAATCTAAGCAAATTGTTGAGTCTATTCCACCCCTTCTTCTGTGTGGCCAGGAGAAGATTTATTACAGTGGCAAAGGAAAGAGAAAAAACCAGGGTTTGGGGGAGGTGAAGCTAAATCCTCTAAAATTTTCCTCATGTCTATGTAGGAGGAGACGGGTGGGATGTGCATAAACACAACACTTTGCTTATGCTTTTTCTGCACCAGGTATTCAGCTATACCTACCTTTCCCTCCACATCCCCTCACTGAGTGTGGCAGAAAGCATTACAACAATTTTAAGCCCAAGAAGCTCAACAATTAAAAACATTAAGCCACAATTTATAATTTGAATATCAAAAGTAATAATTCTTATCAGCTAGTATTTTGTTGGCATTATAAGCAATCTCAGAAATTACTTTCTAAAGCTACATCTGGACTACATCTGCTTACACTCACTGCGTAGTGGGCTGGACTGGTTCTAATTTCTGGTCCGTTTCCAAAACCAATATTCTTTGTCTCCTTTCACCTTTCAGTTACGATGCTTTCAATGATGATTGTAGCTTGCAGCTTTTGCTGCAGCTGCTTCTATGATGGAAAACCAAAAGAGAAGGCCAAAAGGATTGAGGTTCAACCTGCAGATGATTTATAAAACTGAATTTAAAAAAGAATACAGAAGTTGGGGGAAGACTTGGAACGACTCCAACATGGCATACCAATCCATGGAACATAATGGTAAATGAGGAGATAAAGTAAGAGACAGACAGAGAGAGAGAAGAAAAAAGAGATTGAACCTGAACATAGGACTCTATTTTATGACATGGCTTTTGACATGTTGAAAATGCACCGTTTGCAGTAGTTTTCTCTCCTCAACCTATCAAGACAATACAATTTTTAAAATTCCAAGTGTAAAATCTGGTCAAACATGCAGAAAAAAGTTACACCAGATTTCATTTCCACATTACAGCTGGGGAAGCCCCAGAGAGATCAAGATATGTGCAAGCATTCAGCAGAATGAAGTCTAACATAAGCATGGTTTCCCCTCTGCTCAACCATTTAAAGCTAAGTTAACCAGAGACATGATAGCTAAGCAAGTCAGGCATTCAGAAAATGATGCAGGCTTGAAGATGACAAACAAGTTCAGAGACAGCAAAGAAAAGCAGCAACAAATTCTCTAGTTTTCCTTCCCTCCTTAATAAAAGAATAAACAACTGTCAAAGGAAGTACATATGCTGTAGCTGCTGTATACCCAAGGAAAGCTGAAGGGATATGATAATGCTCACAATGCTGTATTGTTTCCTGCCTTTAAAAATTACTGCCTTTTTTTTTTTTAATGTTTTGGTGTCTTCTGTTTAAACTTTGTATATGACAAATCCTTAACTCAAAGGAAAGGGAACAAAAGAATCACTTGACTTTATGTTGGGCTTAAGAATTATATATGTCCTCTATGAATACTCTTATGAATAATTTATAGTTGTGGTGGGTTCATGTTATATTTAAGGCAATTAAAATATACCAAAGGGAAAAAAAGGCAACAGGAGGTAACAGGAACTCTTCCAATCATTCAGTGAGGTTTACAGTTTAATCCTTTGCTCCCTTCATTAGGAGTCTGTGTTTTAAGGTGAATTTATACACAAGAGAGAACAGACAGAGTACAAGCGAAAGGAGGTTTCACTCAGGAAATGAGTGCAACAGCTGGACAACAGCATTATGCTAAATGGTACAGCAAAAACATAACCAAGAATGAGCTACCCAGCTACAATTTACAACAGAGTATAAATCCCCTTCCAAAGAGACACTTTCTGCTTTAATCGATTTCAAAGACGGTTAAATGTGCACAAAAGAGAAACAATGGCACTTGACCTGTGTAAATCGAAATAGAAAAGTTGGTGGTGGATAACGGTATATCTGCTGTTCTTTAGAGGTATTGGACTATCTATATTTGTCATCACCCACAGTTAGACTGCTAAGACTCCTATTGTGGTAATAGATAACAATCTCATTTACCCCAAAGCGATTTGAATCTGAATTTAACATGAAATAGGGTTACCTTTTACCACAATACATAATCTCATAGTTACCTAGTTATATCCCATGAATCCACATTTCTGAATAATATAGATTTATAAACCCTTATTCTGGTTCAGCACTTTAAATATGCTGAATATATATGCCAGAACTCAATTAAAACTGTATACCTTTTCGACTAAAACTTAGAGCAATGTACCAGTTATATATTGTGCCTGCAAATATTTAATTCTTCCAAATTTCTGCAATCCCAAGTTGCAAAACCAGATTTATCAAGCATCCAACCGAGTTGTCATGAAGTTTTGCTGCATTAAGGTACAACTGAGGTTGTTTTTCTTAGTGGAAGGATGAGAAACTTATGACCCAGACATTTAGAACTATAATTGGGAAGAACCTCAGTCAACATAAGTAAAGATGAGAGATGCAAGGTGCTGCATTTCAGCAACATCTGCCAGCAAGTTCTATTTCTATATGCTATGAAGAGTGATGAAAAGCCTCCAGTATATTTTATTCTGGGTGTGCACTGTTTCAGAAGTCACTCCCTTGTGCAAATGACAGGAATAAGAAAACAGCTTCAGCAACCACAGAGACACAGAGATTAACTTGATTTCAAACATGGCTGCTTTTTTATAATTGCACAGCTGCCAGACTGTGGAGAGAACAAGTTAGCCACACAAAATGATCCCATAGCCAAATCATTGTCCAGTATTTCCAACAATACAATGATAGTGCGCTACAGAAAAAAAAATGTACAATATCCTGAATCTCCATTAATACTGTAATAAATTTAAACCAAGTATTACACTGGAAAAAAATGCTGGATTAAAAGAAACTGAAACTAATGGTAGGCCGAAATAATTGTTTTTAAGGATTAGGGAGGAAGTCTTCCAGGAGAAAGCGTTCAACCTTTTATTGGACACATCTGCTTTCCTCACAAATCTGTTAAAGAGATTTTTTGGGGTGGGAAAACAAAAGTATGTGTTGTATTGAGAAAGGCCTTGCAAGGAAAAAAAATAAGCACCTTTTTTTGAAATACTAGTTCCACCGATCTTCAATGAAGGCATGTGAAACAATTAATTCTTTCTTTCTGAAAGAAAAGTCTAGTGTGTACTTATTTGTCATCATTCATACCTTCATTTTGGGTGGATTACTATGGCTTTAAACTTCCATAAAATATTTATTGCTTTAACATTAAATTATAAAACACATTCAGCACCAAAAGCTAAATTACTGCCATATTCTTTATAGAATATAAACAACAATTACCTGCTCAAGAAGGAACCTATGTATGAAAATTTATAATGATTTTAGATGAAAAATTAATAAAACAATCAACTTCTTTCTACCGTAGAAGTAAATAATATGTGGGTCTCTCCATTCTCATCCAGAATCTTTACTGCAAATGCCACTTTTATTGTACGTTTATAATGCATAAGAAAATAGATAGCCCAGAACCAACATTTATTTCCCAACAAATATAAAAATGGGGGTGGGGGTGGGGAATTCCCAGCAAATTAGAATTTTTTCCAGAGTGCTTTTTCTTGTAGTTATGACAAATTCTACTCAGTTTTGGAGGTAGATTAATCATGGCGAAAATAAGTTTACAGCAGTATTTATAACAACAGAATTGCAAATAAACCTGTCCCCTAGAAACTTCTATATTGGAGGAGAAATAATCTATTGGTGTATTAATGATTTACTAAAGAACAAATACCTATATTAGATATTCTGTATTTGCAATTCACGTAAGTGAAATAAGGTCTTTTAGAAGACAGGAGTGCATTTGGTAGACTTCCACAGAAACAAACCACATCTAGTATAGACAAAATCTATACAAAGGTAAGAAAAAAGTAATTCTTTCGCTTTTGTATTCTCCAAGTGTATTAAAATTATTACAACTAAATGGCTGTTTTATAAGGATTTGGGATTTGAAGCAATTGCTGTTGGCAAAGTTATCATCATTTTATAGAAAATGCTTCTGAGATTCCAAAAAGTCCTGAAAGCTCACAGATGAATTTTTAGAAAAGTTTTTTGTTGTTTCTATCTGTATCAGCTGAATGTAGTAATAAATAAAAGATCCTTTTAAAATAAAATGTGTAGTGCTATAAGGAAGCTTCAGGTAAATGGAGTCACTAATGTGCAGATAAATGACAACATTTCAAACGTTCAAACTGAGTATGCCCCTATAATAGAGAAATTATTTACATTTTACTTAGCCCCTTCTCATTCCAAACCAGATTTAAGGCAAAATTTGGAAAGCAAGACTAGTTATAAACAGGCTGAATCCAGCTAATGTTTAATTTTCAGTCTTTAATCAGTTCACTTTACATTTGCTGATTCAATGCATAATTCATATGTTTTTTCAATGAAAACAAATCAGGGAAATTACTGTAAAAGTGAAAGTGGCTTTAAAATGTTGCCTTTTTTTAAAAAAAAAAAGACATTTCACACTAAGATAATTAGCCATGCCACTTTCACTTAAAAATTGAAATGCTAAATATGAGAAATTTCTGTTTGAAAGTTAGAACATTAACATTTGTGAGACACAGGAAAAATTATGCCCAAGAATATCAGCTGACAGCCTGAATTCACTATTGTTATTTGCAAGGAGGGTAAAAAAATAGCTGGATTGTTCACACATCCTAGTACACATCACAATGCCTGATTTATACTATGTCATAGTTGGTTTAAACATGGTTTTTTGAATAAACCAGAATTGGTTTATTCAAAAAAACCAAACACATTATTGTTTAGTGCAATGTGAAATACCAGTTAGCATGTGTTCACATTATAAGTTCAAATAGTAGCAAAGTTTAGTTAGCAGCCAATCAACTTTTGGCAGTCTATATCAGACATGTCCACACTAGCAAGCAATCAGAACAGTATTTCAATTCATTTTTTCCTTAGTCTATCTTAACAGTTACAAGTATGTTGTGATCACCACAATATTATGGGGCAACATGTTCTGCAGCTTAGCTCGGAATGTGACAAGTAACGAGATTAAATATCCTGGCTGTCAGAAGGAGAATGTTAGCAAAATATGACATGCCTTCAGAATGATATTTGCTAGCTTTCCTAGCCTTCCTAGCCTGGCAAATGTGATAATTCTTGCAGTGGTTCATAAGGTCCTCCTCCAAATTATGTGATTTGCAGAAGGAGCCTTCCAAATCTTCGCGAGAATGGAGCCCACTTACAGAATGACATGAGGTGGTCCTGGTAGGGAGGTTGTGCTTTGCGTTGGCTGGGTACATCTGTCAGAAGAATGCAAAGGTAAATGGACCCTAGTGTTATGGGGCAGGGAGAGGACCTGGGCTTCCCAGATGTGGTGTGATGGGAAGAAGGTGAGAGCCTCCCAGCCTGCAGCAAATTTTCATGAACTGTTAGGCAATATGGTTTCCCCACCACCTGAGGCACCACGCACTCCAGTAAATGACCCACAGAATCACTTATTGACTGCAACTGGGAGAGTCTAAAATGTGGCCGTAGAGCGCGGTCGCATGGGTATCTTGCTTAATGACTGCTTGGTTCAACAAACAAAATTCCCATCCCAATCGTGGTCGTAAAACAAGAATTACCTCTATTTAGTGACCTTATTCCTTTCTTTTCATACATTTTTATTAGTTTATCTAATTATAAAATACAAAAAGAAAAATTAAAAAATTCGCAAAAAACTGGGGGAAGGGGAAAGGAGAAAATATGGAGTAAAGAGGGACAAGAAAAAGGCACCAACTTCCAACTCTCTTTAGCACAGAAGATAACATTACAGCCTCAACTTTTTACTTTTACACAGCAGTATATACTCGCCATTTCTATAGCAACAAACCTATCTAATCAGCAAAAACAAAATCAGTCGTCCCCCGTCCCCCCAATTGAAAGCACAAAATCTGGAAGCAATTTCCAAACAGAAACAAATTAAATATATTCTCTTCTTTGGATAAAATAATAAATTTAACCATCTGGGTTTCTCCTTGATGTGGGGAATAATATCTAGAGACCTTACTCCTATAGCCATCTCTAAGCACTTCTACAGTTTGCCCTCGACACATAACCATAACAGAGCCTACCCATTATGGTTGCAAGTTGTAATGGTTGCAGTCACGTGACTGACTCAATTTTACAACATTTTTTTGCAGTGGTCGTTAAGTGAACAATGTGGCTATAAGTGCAAATTTTGCAGTCATTAAGCAAATCCATATTTTTTTTGCTATGGCATGGTTTTGCCGAAAACTGAAAGTAAGTGCCTTTTTGTCTTTTGCAAAACTTTTGTAAAATGCAGTCATGTGACTGTGGGAACCTGTAACTTGCTGTAAATGCGGCCATGTTGCCAAGTGCCCAAAATTTGCTTGCATAACCAATGAGGGGCTTTGATTGTTGGAAGTTAGAATCTGGATTGTAAGTAGCCTGAAGGTAGGTTCATTGTAACTATGAACAGTCGCTAAGCAACTGGTCGTAAGTTAAGGACTACCTGTATTGTTTGAGAATTGCTAGCCTGGAAAGAACTTTGACTGGAGAATTTTTTAAAACATTGTCAATTAAATAAGTGTACATATATGTTTTATTTCCTGCATTCTTCAGGGCCTGGAAACAATGCCAACTGCAAAGCAAGCAGCTTTTCAATTTCTAGAAGATATGAAAACAAGGATTCTGACGGATGATTGGGTTCTTGGGGGACTAGTGGTGATAGTTTCATTCTTCACTATCATCATTGTCCTCATTTTGTTTGCTGTGATCTTTGGCTGCTGTTCAACTGAAAGGAGAAACTAAGCTCTGGGTAAATCATGAGAGCACTTGCCTTTACGGTATTTTAACTACAGAGTGACTGAGCAGTGTAAAGAGCTGTTGCTTCTTGCTGTTTTATCTTTTGAATTTAGAAATGAATGTATCAAAGAAGAAACTGGTGCTGCTAAAGCACAACGCCAACTAGCATCTGAGGGCTGACTCCAAGTGAAGTTTGCAATAAGCAACCATGTTTCTGCTGTGTTTTTGATGCAAGGGTGGTTTCTATTTGCAATGGAAAACTGAACAATAAATGGCTATGGTCTCAGAAATCTTCATTCAATCTTTCAAAAGGCCTGTTTTATACTTCAGAATATGTCTAATTTTTCTGAAGATCATCTATTTAACTTTTTTCTCTAGCAAATTTTTTAAGTGTGAAAGGACCTGACAGTTGGTCTGTTTAAAACATCTGTTACATCTAAAATCAATGATATGAATAAAAAAAAAAATCAAACTGTTATTTAAAATAAAGAATAGCCCTAATCCTTCATGCAATCTATTTTGTTGTCCAAGTAAATATACTGTAACATTTTTCATACAGCATATGTACAAATTCTTACATACACAAGATGGATTATCTTTCATGGGTACTTGGATGCTACATCTGAATATTACACAGGGCCGTGGCAAATGTTGATTTCATGAAAATTTTCACCAACAATTTGGAGGTATTATGGATAGTTAGGATTATTTCCATAAGAAACAATGAAAACATTCTTCTCATTCTAATGGGCCTCAATTGCCACTCATTCAATATGTAGCCAAATCTACATATTATCCCAGCCAATATGAAACCTAGAACCACTCAAGAATAGGAGGAAAGAAATGACCTAAAGCAGTCATAGAGATAAGAAAAAGCATGTTATAAGCGTAATCTCCATTCTCATCTGTACAGTATTCAGGCAACTGCCATAAAAACTAGGGTTGGGCAACAATTCAAAGGATATGCCATTTGAGCCACAGATGAACATACCAACTGCCTGAAATACCTTAAGCCAAATGTGAATTTTCCTGGGTTTACATGCCAGCTGTAGAAGGCAGCTGGGTGGCCCCAGGAAAAGATGCAGTTGCTTCAAAGTGTTGCTAACAGGTGTGAAGTATACATATAGGAAGCTGCTGATTCAGATTTGCTCTTTAATTCAAATCACTGCCCTAATGAAAAGTACTTAGCTAAGGATCAGTCCAAGTCCCTGAAGGACAATTTGCTTTATGTTGTCTTTTCTAAAGTATATGAAAAGTCTCTTTTTTTTTTCAATTATCTTTTCTATGTGCGTATGAAAAATCTATTCCTTTCAAGCAGTGGGGCAGAGTAGGCATAACACCTGACTAAAACCAGGGACATCAAGTCTACAATTGGCCACAGAATACTGAGTAATGTTGCCCAGATATTGTATTTCCTATTTTTATTGTAACCTGCCTCAAAAAAAGGTAAGGTGAATACAGAATCATATTCTACCTTAAGCCCTGGGAAGAAAACGTACCAAATAAATGAAACACCAATAGCTTTACAAATAAACCCCTACTATTCCAAGATTTAGGTAGCAAGTCCCCCAAAATAATTGATTTCAGAATAGATCAACACATCTTACAAATCTTATTCAATCTTGGAATGGAAGTAAACCAAGTAAATATATGAAATATATTTATTTGATATATAGTACTGTAGTACTTGATATATAGTACTGTAGTACCAATGAGCAACAATTATTCAAGAATAATGTAAACAAAATTTTATTATCTTCTTGTAACCTTATTCTACCACAACAGTTACCATCATGTAGGCAACTTGGGCTGACCTTGAAAAAGTAAAACAGTGTAATACTTGGTCAGCATTTGGATGGAAAGCCACCAGGAAATTAGAAGCTGTGGAGTCCTCGGTGATCTTTGAATTTGGTTCTTTGCTTGCAAACATGTCATTATCTAACTATTCGAGCACCGATTATGTTACCTATTTGGTAATGAAATATCTGCAAGCAAACAACCAAACTTACAGAGCACCTAGGACTCCATAGTTCAACTTCAAGCAACATATTCTTTTCTATTGAAATTTGAAGTTGTAGGCTAGATTGGAAAGTTGGAAAAAAATCCTGGAAGAAGCCAAAGGCAAGCTCAAACTATTGCCAAAATAACTATGCAAATACAACTATATAATCACAAAGTCTTCAGTTTTTATTCTTATTCTACCATAATATGGATGAAGCTAACAAATTAGTGGAATGCAATTTTGAACCTCTCAATTACAGCCCCAGTCTTCAATTATAGCCCCCAAAACTAAGTAAGAAAATATCTCTTCTCTATCCACATGTGAGTCTCAGTCCTGCCCACCATTATTGCCTGGCATCTCTGTAATACTACATTAAATGTCCTCTAGAAATCCAACAATGGCACACTAGACTACAGACAAACCTATATTTTCCTATATTTAGCACCTATACATTACTGTCTTACTGCAAAAGTAAGTTCCTCATGGCTCCAACAGCACAATCTATTTTAAATATAGAATTTATTTTTGGACAGGTTGTAATTTCTACACTAATTACTGAATATTGCAGCTACTATTTTAAATAAGGAACATCAGTAACTATGGAGCATCCAATTTAATTTTTCATCCTCAAGCTGTTAGGCTTCACACCTTCTTTTTTTTTCAAAGAAGAGAAGCTTCCCAAAAATGGTAATATAGTGGGCAGGTTTCTCACAGATCTTCTGAAGAGAAAACTGATAGAACACAGGCCTCTTGTGCTACCAGCCCAACCTTAGTCCTGCCCATCTTATCAAATAATAAAATTACTTGATATTACATTATACACACACACACACACACACACACACACACACACACACATAATATAGAAGAGAAAGCTTCCAACCCATCTGAGTATCCATCCATACTTACACAAGATTTTCAGAGAAGGCGACCATAACCTCAAAGTTTTTCATCACAGCTTTATCAGACTCCTTCAAGGAACCTCGTTTCCCCTGAGGAAACATAAAACTGAATAAACAAAGCTATGTCCCAAAACACTGAATTCAGAAAACCATTTATTCACAACAATGTCACATTATCCTTAGTTGCGTAATGATGCTACAAACAAATATGCATTTTATTTAAATCCTGTAAAAGTACTGCAGCAATTTGAAAGTATACTCTTTATGGGTATACTTCTTCATATAAGAATGTAGCAAATAAGTCTTCATTTTTTTCCTCAGTATTATTATAAATTATAACGTATTATTTATGAATAAATAAGAGGAGCCAGATATGTGTGGATGTGGCTCTTTACTTTTTTTAAAGCTAGACCTACCTCCACACTGAATTTGTCTTTCTGTATATTTTCTATGTTTGTTGAACATAATGCATGTAAAGTATCAACAGAAAAAAATTTGGATGGTACCATGTAGCCATGAAACAGCAATAGCCTTCAAATATGTTTTTGGGAAATGTATAAAAAACATGAAGGAGATGGAAACAAAGCTGTATTTCAGCTGTACTATGTGGAAGTAGAGCCAACAAAAAGAATGGGAAACCACAGGCAGCTTCATTATGCATGTTGCTAGAGAGGAAGTAACATAAGTTTTTAATTCATTCTAATCTGAAGATAAGCACTCTGATAAGCAGAACCTGCAAGTGTTGTTGAGAAATCTGAAAATCACTGTGAATACTAACAAGGAAACAAAGGGGAGGCAAAGGTATTTATGCCCCCATAATAGAGATTTTTTAGCATATTCTTGCCAGATTGGGCAATTATATGACTAATTTAGTGGGAGACAAAATGTTTGTTGCCCTAGATCAAGCAATGAATTTTGCAAATTCAATTAGATGACGCAAATGCTAAGCTATGTATATTCAATACACCTTTTGGTGTATCAATAGCAATACAAATTCTGTATGGAGTTGCAAATTCTGGAAGGTTTAGAAAGAGTATTGTGTTTTATTTATAATATGTTGCTATAGGATCAGGATAAGCAGTTACAAGGTAAGAGAATTAAGCTCTGGAATGGCGTGAAGAAAGAAATTTGAAGTTAAATAAGCAAAAAATTAAATTTGACATAAACTTATTTCTAATGGTGTGAAACAAAGATTGAAGCTATTGTTCACATGCAAAATCCAAAGGATAAAATAGACTGTCAGCGTTTTTTAGGTATGGCTAATTATTTAGCAAAATTTGTTCTGAGAATGGCTACTCTGAAAACTCAATTAAGGTAGCTGATGTTAGAAGACATGGAATTTCCCTGCATGCCAGTATATAAGATGTACTGAATAAATTGAAAGGATTATTGACAAGTGTACCTGTCCTATGACAAATGGGATGGTAGAAACAATTATACAGACTGCAAATAGAAACAATTATACAGACTGCAAAAGAGCCTTGGTACTACAGTGGTTTAAAGCACCCTGTTATTAACACAGCTGCCTGCAATTTACTGCTGGTTCGAATCTCTCCAAGGCTCAAGGTTGACTCAGCCTTCCATCCTTTCTAAGGTCGGTAAAATGAGGACCCAGATTGTGGGGGCAATAAGCTGACTTTGTATAAATATACAAAAGTATGAAGGCTATTGCTTAACGCACTGTAAGCCGCCCTGAGTCTCCGGAGAAGGGCGGCATATAAATCAAATTTAAAAAAAAAAAAAAAAAATAGAATGTTAGAGAAGCTGGATGTTTCTGATTTTTATTTGTGTCTTTGAGTTTATAGAAATAATCCTATTTGGACAAAAAGTCACCAGTACAATTACTTATGGAAAATGTTTGCAAACTAGGTTACCGGCATCTACTATTTTGCTAAACTCACAAGATGATTGCAGAGATATGTATGAACAATTGAAGCATAGATAAGAAAAAGATTAATTTTCTTTTAAAAAGAAAAGAAAAAGATTAAAAAGATTAATATCATAAGGGGGGTGGGATTAAGCCCTTATCTCCTTTGAGTGTGTGAGATCATGTCAATCTTAGACATAATAAAATGTGGGGATTTGTCCAAGTTGTAAAAAAATACCAAATTCCTAGATCCTACTCTGTGCAAACAGCTGAAGAATTAGTTTATTGAAGAAATTGATAAAACTTAAAGAAAGTTGAAATATCTTACGCTGTCTCTGTTCAAGTGCAGAATATGGAATAAACTGGTGAGGTCATTGCTAAAAAAGGCAATCTGATTTTGGAGGAAACATGGACAATAGTGGTATTAAGGGGAGAAATGGAATGTAAGCCAGTACAGTATGGAAATTTTGTACCAAAAAAAAAAATCCATTATGAGTTTCAATGTATTACTTATGAGTAGAAGAGACTACGTATATAAAAAGAGCCAACTATGTGTTGGCAAACCTGCCAGTTACTAGTAAGAAGCTGTCTGCATATTAACGAACATGACTGTTACCTTCACAAAGAGGAAGCAGTAAAATCTATATTGTATCTTGCCCGTTTTATTCAAATACAAAATTAAACTGGTTTTTGTGAGCATTGAAATGTGAGCTATAGTACACAGTACTATACACAGTA